ATGTTAATACAGTTCCAAATTTTAAATTTGATTGGCTTCCATATAATACTTGGATAAATATTTATAATTTAAGTAAAACATTTCCTTCTTTTTTCAATCTTGCAGATGATTTTTGTTACAATAATAAAGTTTGGAAACAATACTATAATTCTGAATTACTTGCAGATCATTTGATACCAGAACCTTGGAATAGTACATTATCTACATTTCAAAAACTTATTCTTGTAAAAATTTTACATCCTGATAAGATTGTAATACAAATTATGCAAATGATAGAAAATATGTTAGGAAATATACAAAATTATTCTCCTAAAATGAAAATATCTCAATCATATGCAGAATCTAATTATTTAACTCCACTTTTATTTATTTTACCTGCTTGTGTAGCACCATTAACTCTTATTTCTACATACGCAAAAACTAAAGGCTATTTATCAAAATTTGTTCCTTATCTATGAGTAAAGGTCAAGAAGAAAAAGCTGAATTTCTCATACAAAAAGCTCAGAGAGAGGGAAATTGGGTGTTTTTAGAAAATTGTCATTTGGTAACTCATTGGATAACTTATCTTGAAAAAATTTATGAAAATTGTAGCACTTTCAATATATCTTTAAATTTTCGATTGTGGTTATCTAGCTATTGTACAAACAAATTTCCAATTAGTATCTTGCAAAATAGTATAAAAATCATGCATGATTATTCTTTGAATATCAAAGAAACATTATTAAATACTTATCAATCTGAACCTATAATAAATAAAGAATTTTTTGAAGGTTGTCCTGGAAAAGATAAAATTTTTTTAAAACTTCTTTTTGGAATATGTCTTTTTCATGCAGTTATACAAGAAAAAAATAATTTTAAAATTCAAGGATGGAATATACCATATATCTTTGAGCATACTGATCTTAAAATATCTATTATGCAATTAAAAAATTTCATAAATAATACAGATTGTGTACCTTTTGATATTCTTCTATATTTTATTGGAGAATGTAATTATGGAGGAAAAATTCAAGATGAATTTGACAATAGATATTTAAAACATCTTTTAAGTGATTATTGTAATTCTAACATAATTGAAAATGAACAATATATGCATTCAAATAGTATACAAAAACTAATACCACAAAGATGTGAATACTTACATATAATTGAACATATTAAGAAATTTCCATCAGATTTATTACCTCAAATTTTTGAATATAATAAAAGTAGTGTTATTACTCGAAATACTATGATAGCTATAGAAATGGTATCATTTCTTTCATATATAAATTCTCCAATTTCTTTATTAGATGAACAAATACAGGAAAATGAAGTATTAATTTTAATCAATGATATTAGTGATAAATTATATGACTCGATTAAAATTAATGAAATTGAAGAAAAATGTACTTCTATGCCTAAAGAATCTTTACAAATAGTTCTTCTTTATGAAATTAAGTCATTAAAACATATTTTAAAAATTATAACGGAAACATTAAATACTTTAAAATTAACATTGAATGGTTATCTTCCTTTTACGGATTCAATAAAAGAATTTGCCGAAGAAATCTATAAAAATAAAATTCCAAGAATTTGGAAAAAGATACAAATCAATATTTTTGGTGAAAATTTAGCACATTACATCGATAATTTATTAAAACATGCAAATTTTATTAAAAATTGGATTAATCAAGGACGCCCTATAAACATTTGGTTTGATGCATTATTTAATTGTAAAATGTTTCTTTCTGCAATATTATTTACATTTTCTAAAAAGTATAATATACCTATTGAAGAAATTGCTTTTCATTTTGAAATAACAACAAATAAAGAAATCGAAGAAAATGTTGATACATATTTAATTTGTGGATTGTATATATGTGGTGGTCGATGGAGTTTAGAAAAAAATATGTTAGTTGAAAATTTTTCAAATGAAATTTGGCAAAATATGCCACCTGTACATCTTAAGTGTTCACGAATAAAAAAAAATATACAAGAAACATATATATGTCCTATTTATATAACTGCTGTTCAACATATTGATAGTATTGAACTTTCTTCAAAGAATTATATAACTAGCATACCATTGAAAACTAATATATCTCCAATTCATTTTATAAAATGTGGCACAGCTTTATTTTGTCATATACCAAAATATCATACATTATAATGTTAAATAATTGTATAAAAAATAAAAAAAAAATTTTTGTTAATATATATGTATAATTTCTGTAATAATATTTACTAATATATTTAAAATATAACAAACAAAATAAATGAAATTCAAAATGATAAAATATAAAAATAATTAAAAAATTAAAAGTAAATTAAAATATATATTTAAACATTTCGCGGATTCATTCACTGTGTATATATCCGGTTCAGTTCCATATAAATGGAAGGAATGACAGGTAAATTGAAGAAATTGACGTAAAGTTGAATTAACTGAACAAAGGAAATTATTACAAGAAGGATTTTGAAAGCTACAATAATTATCATAAGCATACATTGCTATATATTACGAGTGGTTTAATATTTCCTTTCAATGGAGAACCATGACGAGTTAGTTTCGCAATTTATAGATACAACTGGGGTTGAACCTGAAGAAGCACGATTTTATCTTGAGTTATCTAATTGGCAGCTTGAGGTGAGGCAGCATATTTTATTTTAATACGAAGGTTATAATTTTAGACTATTATAATTATATTTTTTCATTGATCTTTATTATTGGCTTTGTAACCTTAAATTTATTAAATTTTAATATTGCTACAACTCATAATTCCGTACTTTTAATAATATTTTAGAGCATAACTATTGCTTTGTTACTGTTTTAAAGGCTTGTTTTAATTAAAATATATTTCACAACATATAAATATATAATAATAATGTTGCAATGATATAATTAAAGTAATTAATCTTTTATTTTAGAAATTGTCAATATATTTAAAAAAAAATTAGTTGTCATAAAACTAATTCTTTAATAATTATTAATCATAGAATTTATTGTTAAATATTTTATTATATATATATCTTAATATATCTGTCAATTTAAAATATTTTAGGTTGCTCTTGACACATTTTATTATCCTCTTGCTTTACCTTCATTGTCTAATGAACCTACTGAAGGTACATCAGAAGAAGAACGTACTGATATTTCAGATAAAAACGCAGGAAGTGTAAAATCATCAGAAATGGAAGGAAAATCATCAAAAGAAAAAATAAAACCAAAATCTAAATTTGCAATGCTTAGTGATCTTAAAGATAGAGAGAGTAGCCCTGAGGATGAAGAAGGCCAAGCATTTTATGCTGGTGGTTCTGAACATACTGGACAACAAATTCTAGGACCAGGAAAAAAAAAGGATATTGTTAGTGATATGTTTAAGTCTTGTCAGAGACAATCAATTGCTGTAGAATCAAAACCAAGTGGACAACAAAGACCAAATACCTTTAGTGGTACCGGGTATAAATTAGGTCAAACTAGTTCAGATACTGAAAGTAAGTGAAACTATTTTGCAGCAAAGTAATAATTATTTTATAACAAATTATATTATGTTAAAATAAATATTTTTTTTTTACAGTTGTTACTGCTACAACATCTAATAATCAACAGACAAATTCTGGACTAATTACTTTGAAATTATGGAAAGATGGATTTACTATAAATGATTCTGAACTTCGATTGTATAGTGATCCAGAAAATAGAGAATTTCTTGAGACTATAAAACGAGGTGAAATACCAGCAGAAATACGTCAAGAGATACAAGGTACTGAAGCACGACTTGATATGGAAGATCATCATCATGAAACATATGTTCCTCCAAAAGTTAAAGTGAAAGCTTTTAGTGGAAAAGGACATATGTTAGGAAGGTATATAATATACATGGAAAGATTATTTTTTAGTATATTTTATGGAAAAATTATTTTTTATATATTTTTAATAATTCTTTTCTAGTCCTTCTCCTGCTACAGTTGGTATGACAATACCAACAGATCTTGCAGATCAAGCAGCAAATGAATCTCAGGCAAAACAAAAATTAAATTTAGATGAATCAAAACCTATGACAACATTACAAATTCGTCTTGCTGATGGGACTAGTGTAAAAGCTCAATTTAATTTAACTCATACTATTAATGATTTGAGGCAATATATAATAACGTATCCTTTCTTATGTAATTTCATCTATATTAAGAAAATTAATTTATTTTTATATATTATTCTTTAATCTTTTCTTAGTATGAGACCTCAATATGCTATGAGAGAATTTAATTTATTAACAATGTATCCTACTAAGGAACTCACAGAAGATAAAACTATTGAAGAAGCTGGTTTACAAAATACAACAATAATTCAACGACTGAAGTAAATGTCTTCTTTAGAGCCTTAATTATGGAAGTTTAAGTGATGTATTGATTAGAGAATTCTTAAATATACATTGAAATATTTGAAAAACACATTTCAACACATTTTAGTAATTGAATGGCACTTTATTATCGTTTATTTTAATTTTAAGTACAGTTTTTGTTATATAATGTTGTTTTTTTTAATACAAAAAATATTTTATTAAAAACAAATCTATTATTAAAATTTCAATTAACATAAAGTAAAATTACAAAACCTTTGTAAAGTTTGCAATAAAATCATTCAATTTATATGTATTTATTATATATAATTTTTATACGTGTGAATAACTAGCACTTAGTAATAAACATATAAAATTTCCTTTTAAGTATAGTGCTAAATAAGTTATGAAAATGTTTTTATACTATTTCTTTTGATAAATAAAGTATTTAAACTAAAAAAATGTATTGCCATGTGAAAAGTATTTAATACAAAAAATAATATTAGGAAAAAATATTTATATATAAATCATAAATATTGAAATATCAATAATTATGCAATAAATTTTTATATACATATAATGTTATATAATTACATTCTTATATTTTTATATATTCATTTATATATGATATGTATAAATGAGACTTAAAATTAAATTTCAAATTAAATTTAACTTATAAATATATTAAATCATTTGCTACTTTCTAAAATAATTTATTTTCTAATATAAATTTTCTAAATTGTGAATTTTGTATATCTTCAATGAATCTTAAAATTGAAGTATCTTCAACATTCGTTTCTGAATTTGATTTTTCAAAACAATATTGATAACGATTTAACGTAATTAAATCTTTTCCAATCGCTCGTGTATATATATTTTTTTTCTTAATACTTCATGCATATTATAGATATAAATTGGTTGACTATCAGGAATACTTGAATCATAATGTAGTTTTTTAAATATCATAAATGTCACATTTCCATTGATTGGATTATCTGTTTGTTCTGTACAAAAAGTTAATGTTTTTAATTTGTAGCGGTCAGCTTTTAATCTAGATCTTTTAAAATCTCTCATTAAGTCTGTAAGGGAATGATGATATCTTAAAACTATATATTCATCCCAAGATAATGTAATAATATACATAACTTTATTATATGTACGATACAAACAATCTGCTTGTATCAAGTTTTTTATTATAGTAGGATGAGTACTGGGAAAAGGAAAATTCCATGGCACTACTGTATATGTAAATTTCCAATATGGATTTTGAGATTTAGATAATTCTTTAAGATTACTATTATATTCATTTGGAATACCAAAATCATATACTATAAAATTATCCACACCAATTATATCATGAAAATTTATAAAACCAATCATTTGTAATGGTTGTAATGGTTTTGTCAATGATGGTGTAATGCATATTGCAGTATTGGCATAATTTAAATTATGTGATTGACTTTTGATTGGTAATATAGGCACATTATTAAGATCTGAATTAGATTTTATAAAAAACATTATTCCTATTGGTATTTTATTTTTGGTGTAAGCACAATAAAAATGATATCCTTTATAATTAAAATTTTTATCAATACTTGCAATATTTAAATTATCATCAATTAAGAGATAACTAAAATCTCCTAAAATTGAATTAGTTTCATTTTCAAATAATATTGCACATTGCATATTCTTAATATTATTTGATGAACCAAAACCTATTACTTGAATTTCATTATCATGTATATTATATGCAGAATAAACATATAAATCATTATCTAATCTTTGCCAAGAAGAAAGTGGTTCTTCAAATTTCATGTCAAATTTTGTAAATATTGGTATATTATTTGTACAATTTATTTCATTTTTTTGATTTGGCTTACCAAAGTAATTAAAAACTTCTAAAACATATCTTAACTTGTTATATTCATGTCTATAAAATAATAAAGACACAAGACTCATTATAGCAATTATTACAAGTGCAGCTTGATAATATTTTCGCATATTTCAAAATCTAATATAAGAAATGATAAAACAGTTTTATCAATTAATATTTAATACTTTATAATTTGTGTAGATTATCTCAGGCATAAATAGAATTCTGGAACAAAAATTTTATTCAAATAATTAGATGTTATTGTTACATGAATTTTATAAATTTAAATTCATTACTAAAAATAATATATTTAAATTTTTTTTTACTTAAATAATGTATTGAAAATAATATATTTAAAAATTTTAGATATTGAGATAGATTCTAAGATATTGTATATTATTCTTGAAATATTTCATATATAATTTAATTTAATTTATAATTTACCATTGAATTTATAATTTAATAAATTTATATTTTTTACACTCTTTCTAATATTAAGAATATAATATTAATAACTTTTGTTTTTACTAAAGATTAATTTAAATGCTCGATAACTAAATGAAAAATATAAGGTTAGTAAGTTTTCGCGCCAATTTTTGAAATGATTGAAATGTAAAATATTCGTTTGAATTATATTAATATTCATATAACTTTATTTTGTCTCATTAATATAGCATTTGAATAATTTAAGTAATAAGAAAAATTAAGATATAATAAATTTTTATATTAAATTTATATTTATTAGTATAAAGATAATAATTTATACAATTGCATATTGTTCGTACAGTAATTCACGTACTTTATAATAATCTTCTGAAATGCAACCTTCCAATATCACTTTTCCAGCTTCATGCTGAAAAAATATTAAATTTTAAAAATATTCTTATTTTATCAGATAATTATATTATTAATTATAATTATAATTAAATAAATTGATTAAATACAAACCCTCCTGACGGCAATAGTATTATTACAACACCATAAAACACCTCCACTAAATTCAGAGGGAATATTACTTTTATTTAAAATCTGCTTAAAATCAGATAATTTTAATTCATTTATAAATGTTGTTTGATGACCAGGTACCTATGAATCATAAATATAGTCATAATGCATTTATATTGTAAATATAAGATTTTTATTTATTTATTTTTTTTATACCTCATTTAATGGCAAAGGTTCCAGTGTAAGAATTTTATCACTTTGATCTATTGCATCATTTGGTTCAGTGCCTGCAACAGCATCTCGACATATCTGATCACGTGCAGTTATCATTGCATCAACCCATGCTACTTCAGAATCACCCTTTCCTTTTGAAAAGTTTAAACCACTAACAAGTGCATCAGTTAAACGAACCTAATTAAATGCAAGATTATAATTATATATATTATTATATAATTTTAATAAAATATATATGTATATATATATATATATGTATAATATATATATATATATATGTATATATATACATATGTAAAATATAAAATATATAATATGATATAAAATTATATAAATTTAATATATTTACACAAATTATACAATTATATAATATATTACATAATTATTTATACGCATTTTTATAAATATTGAATTAAGATAAACTAAATATTACCTGATATATATGTGTTTCTGTTGTAGCATCTAATGTTTCTCCTCTTCCTGGAATAAATACACGTGCACCTGCACTTTGTGCTTGTTGAGCAAGAATTTCAGTGTCTCTTTGTGACCCTCTAACTAATACAACTCTTCTTGGTCTTAATTGTGCCAAAATTTTCTGTAATGATTCTCCATCAGATCTACCTTCAAAATCTATGTATGTAACAGAGGCATTAACTGTCATTGTACGTGTAACTTGGATACATTTGGTTGGAATATCAGTAGGTATTTCTGGATGATGAGCAGTATCTTCTTGCTTTGTTTCCAAATTTTCTTTATTGTCATCTACTTCTGGCATAGTTTCTGCTATTTTGTAATCTTCTGGTCTATACAAATTAAATATTTAAATATATTTTAAAAAATTATATATTATTATTATTAATTTAAAATATTATAAATGTTTATATTATAATAAATACCTTATAATTTCTCCATATTCATCAATTTTAATTTTTTCTTCTACAAATGGAAACATAGGATGTTGTTTTTTACTTTGTTTGAAAAAACCTGGTTTACTTTCTTGTTTCACTAACAAATCATGTTTTCCTCTTCCTCCACCAACTTCTATTTCATCTTCTGATTCAGAACTTACATCAGCAGTCTCCCTGAAATATAGAAGTATTGAAATAAAAAATATTTTATATCTATGAAAATATCAATTTCTATATATTATAATTATATACATTTGTTCTTGTTTCAATTGTTCTTGTTTTAATTTTTCTTTTCTTTGATATTCTTCCAACTCAAGTCCTTCTAACTTTATTCTTCGTTTTACCTCCAATGTAATATTTCTATTACCTCCCTTTTCTACTAAATCTCTTGCAAGTGTTCCTGGTGATGTTCTACTAGTTAATATAATACTATTTTGGGGATTACCACACCATTGTAAAAATAATTCTCTTGAAAAACCACATTCCATATCTGGAGTGCTTGCAAGTACAACCTTGAATTTACATATAAATCTATTTTCATTTATAATATTTATAAATTAATAATTTTATAACAAATATTCTAACCTTTGGACTAGGAACTTGATTTAATTCTGCCATACTATGACATAATTGTAAATGTTTAAATTGAAATGGATTATTTCTAGCTCCTTCAAAACTTCTCATTAATTTATCACTCATCCATTCTATTTGTGATTTAGCAAACTCAACAACATTATAACTAACATTGTTTAAAAGAGCTAAAGAATATGCAAGTAAACCAGATTCTTTATTGCGCCACAATTGATCTAACATATGAGCTAATTCCAATACACGACCAGCGGTGTCTACACTAACTAAAACATTTCCACCTCCACGTAAAGTTTGTAAAATATTTGCTATAAAATATTATTAAATATCAAGTAATATAATATTATAAAATATTATTAGAATTATAAATAAAATTATTTTCATACTCATTAATTTCTCATCTCTGGTTCTACGTCTTGCTTGTTGATATGTAGCATTGAAAGCATCTGTTATTAATAAAGATGGTCTTTGTAATCGTTCTAATTCACAACCATTTAAATGTCGTTCTTTTTTATGATTAAAATCTACAGCATATATTATATCTTCTTCACCAACTTTCACAATTTTCCAAATAGTACCTCCAATCATATGACCAGCTGGTAAAGGTGTTAAAGTAACTCCATATCCTTTTCCTTTCATTGAAATGCTTTGATTATATTTTAATTGAACTATTTTATCAAATGCTGCATCAACATCATCAAGTGTAAAAAGATCAAAATCTTCCATATTATGACGGGACTACAAAAATATATAAATATTTATTCTGTGCAATTCATTTTGATGAAATTGTAAAAGGAATAAAAAGTGATTAATGATGATTAAAATTCTTTTCATCAAGAATACCTGATACATATCATACATAAACATTTGTCCCATTTTATATACAGGGATAGTAGCATATATAGGGCAATTTAAACCACATTTTCCAACTAAATATGGTAAAGCACCCAAATGTAATGGATCTGGATATGATAAGAGAACTGCATCTATTTGATGAACATGTCTAAAAGAATAATATTATGTATTACTATTATTCTTAAATTTTTTAGTTTACAACTTATAAAATTATTATATAATTATCTATATTTTATCTATAATTATCTATAATTACCGTTTTAATTCTTTTATAAATTCTTGATCAAAATTTTCATCCCATCCACAATCAAGTAATATTCTTAATTCATCAACTTGTAATATGTAACAAGGAGGAGATTCATCCATAGCTCCAGAAACAGCATGAAGTTTTATAATTGATGTCATTATTTTTGTCTTTTTCCCTCACTTATTAAAATACATATAAATAATATATATAATATCTTCAATTTATTTCACTTATTTTTTAATTACAAGACATATTTACAATTTAACCTATTATTTATAATTACACTACTTTGATTTTTAATCAACTAAAATTAAGTTTATGATTTTTAAAAAATTACAAATATTTTTTAAAAGATAATATTTATATCGTTTAAGATAGTTATTTATTTTTAATTACTTAAAATATTTGAAACAAAATATATTAAAATATTTCTTTTAATTTTCTTTAAGATCAAAAAATGGTACAATAAAATTTTTAATAATCTCGGTATTTTCTAATAAAGAGAAATAAATAATGTTATGAGTTAAAAATAGATAAAATACAGAATAATATAATATAAATTTCTCTTATTATTGAGATGAGAAAATGTTTTTTCGTGTTATGAATTTTGAGTCTATCTTATCTTTTTGCCATTTCCATCACATACAATGTTATTGGATTGGAATTCAAACTTAATTTTATAAAACTTATTAAAATTAATTACTAATTAATGCTTATTATTAACAATAATTGAAATAAGTATTATATCGGTATTGTATATTACATATATCATATATAGATAGATCAGTATTGCATATTACATATCATATATAGATAGATAATATAACTATGAGTATATAATACAGCTAGTATATAGCTGAGAGCAAATCATAAACTATACCAAATATTTATATCCTCTAAAATTAAAAAAAATTATCGAAAAATATTTCAATATATTTCAATGTTTCACATTTACAATAAAATAATTCCTATTTTCTTTCAAATTATATTATATTCTTATATAAAATTGAAATTTTTGATGTTAAAAAATTTTTATTTAAATTTATGAGTTTGTATTAAGAAAATATAAAATTTAAAAAGAGATAGAATTAATACGCAAAATTGTAAAAATTTTTGTTTAAATTTTCGATTTTTTATCAGGAAAATATAAATTTAAACAAGATAGCATGTAAATTTTTGTGGAATTTGATGTATTTATTTTTTATATATTTATTCTATAAGTTAACTTATTGGTAAGAACTATCATTTCTCGTTTTTTCATTATTTTAATTAATTTTAATTATGAAAAATAATATACTAACCTGCTATGTATTTAGCTTTTGTACTTAGCTTTTTAAGATATTATATTTTAAAATATATTTTTTTTAAAAACTGCAAAAAAAAATATATAAAAAAATATAAAATATATATATATATACAAAAATAGAAAAATATATTCTATAAATTATATATATGATATATAAAAATACAAATATATAATATTATGTTATATATATATATATATATATGAATTTACATAGTATGAGCATATAGAGTATAATGCAAAATAGAGATAGTATATAGTATAGTATATAAAAATATAGAAATTAGTTTTATTTTTAACAAATAATGTAAAGAAAAAAAAAATTATGAATAAAGATATAAAATATAGAAGAAATAAAACTTGCGTCATTTTTTGAATGTTCAAGATATTTTAAGTTTATACATTTTTCAAAGAGATGACAGAA